CTGGTGAACTGGAAAGTGCCTTGAGATGACATGTGTTGTGAATTTGCACTTTATAAATAAACTGAAATGAATGGAATTGAATCTGTCCCTAAAAAACAGGAGTTCTTGGGAACCACAACCGGTGGATCATTTAAAAAGGAGTTTCACAAAAAGCTGTAGAAAAAAACAAACAAAACTCTACCATTAACTTTCAGAACAAAACGTCACAGAAACTTAAAATAAATAACTTCCAGATCCCAAACATGTAGAAGATTTCTGCAGGACAACTGAAGCAAAATTTTATAAATCAGAAACTATTTCCTATTTTAAGATTTTCCAAGGTTTCAGCTAAAATCAGTGTTCATTGATCAGAGCTAAAAAAGTCAGACCAATAATTTTAAAGGCAAATAAATCCTGGGGAAAAAAAGCTGAAATGAAGACAAAGTGAGGAGTTATGAAGTAAACCTGTAAAGGGGAACAGAGCTCAGAGTCATGAAGAACAAAGGCAGTCCCTCAGCAGGTGAAATGAAAACACCCCTCACTGACCTACGATGATGCCTCCGGGCCGTCTGTCCATCTCTACCGCCTGGGGGTGGATCCCCTTGCCATAGGCCGGCTCTCCCATCATCTGATTGGCCCTCTGGTAGCGCTCCATGCTGGGGTCGTCCAATCCTGGCGTGAAGCCTCGGCCGCGGGTCCGCTCAAAGTCCTCATGGTACTTGGCCTGAGGAAACGAACACAGAGATGTTGGTGATCCACTGAAGAGGACATCAAACAGACACAAAACGAGGAGTTCAAACACAGACAGACGGCTTAGGGTGCATTTGGTCAGTGAGCAAATCAAACCCAAACATCAGATTTTATTGAATAAAATGTTCTCCTTCATAGAACCATGTATCCAAACACACTCAGACACATGCGGCTGCGGCGTCCTCGTTCCCTGCAGGTGGGGGTTAGTATCTGTGCAGCGGCTCCACCCTCTGTGCCAATCATGTTAGCTCCACCCCCCGGCTGAGCTCAGAACCACAGGAGCCATGCTGCTACCATGGAGACAGAGTCTTGGGTCCTTCTGACCCGCCTGTATTCGGGCGTGTCCAGCTCGGTGCAGCTCCGCCCCCTCAGCTCCTGGAGGCCGCGCTGGTACTTCACCTGTTCACACACATGTTCACATGACGTTACTGAGCAGCACAGAGCTTGGCTTTAGCAGGAAAACATTTATTACTGTTATGACCCACAGCTGTTTGCCTTATTTCTCCCTCAGCTACCCTGCTTTCTCCCTGCCACAGCTGTTCCATATCTCCTGAAATTAGTTCACTTTGCTCATTTTCACCTCCATGTCAGTATTTAGGCCTCTGGTTTAACCGATCTGCTTTCGTTGAGTTCTCCCATAGTCTATCTCTGCTCATGGGTCCTTCTAACCAACAACATAATTATTATTTCCCTTATTTGGTCAAAGCAGTTCCTGTTCCAAAACAGGTAAGAATGAGTTTGGTTTCTGACAGTGGGAGCGCCAGCATGGATCCCTGTCACAGCATGGCTAACGGATACATTCCTGCTGGAATCTAAGGCTACGTTCACGCTGCAGGCCTTAATGCTCAGTTCTGATTTTTTTGTGAAATTTGATTCTTTTGCATTCACATTTCTAGATGTAGGCGACTTGTATGTGATCTCCTGTCTGAACTGCATTCACACAACTTAAGTTTCCTGCATGCGCAGTAGAGGATGCAATGACATCACAAGCGAGTGCGCTCTGTTTTTACGCTAGTAAATATGGATGGTAGTGCTGGAGCGCATATAATGAACTTTCATTTCTTTCCCAACATTAAACACACAATCTATTCAAGAGGGTTGAAAATAAAGACTGCTCTCCACATTATTGTTGTTTTTCTTCCTGCTTCTGCGAAGCAACAATACCCTCGTTATGTATTAATGACGTTCAGGTGGGATGAATGTGACCTGGCTGTTCAGACACGGGTCGCATTAGAAAAGGTCAGATATGTATTGAATTCAGGACCACAGAGCCAAGGGGCCTGGGTCGCATTGGAAAGAATTAGATCTGTGTTGTTCAGACTGTCATGAATGGATCAGATCCAGGTCAGT